TTCCTCTTCCATTATCCGTTTCGATTTAGGTTACTTCGTTGCAGTTATCGTAATTGCAACTGCTGTTGCGGTGAATTGAACGGTACATAAAGTTCGTCGGGAGAGCCGTGAAACTTCCACGCTGACAAAAATTCTGTTTTAATTCCAAGTAGCGAGCAACAATTGCTATTCCGTTCGAACAGCGTAACCGTTCGATTTTCTTTCGAAACACGGCGATCTCTACCGCGTACGAGCTGCTGCCGTTATCGCAGCGGTAAGAACGGTAAAATCTCCGATGAATATTTAATACACCATTAAGCAATGAACTGCGTAATTTTCTTGAATACAGGATTGAAGTGCGGCCATCCGGCCGTGCCGATGAACGCAAAGGTGTCGTTGTCCGACGAATCCTTAGCAACTGGCACTTTAGCGACGTACACATGCGACGCCGGATACGAATTATTCGGGTAAGTTTAATCGACGGGCTTTCAAACGTATTCGGAACTCCGCGGAACGTTAACTCGAGTAACTCGGTTGGAAAAGTGGTAAATCGTGCATGGCGGACAAATTATAGCGAAATAAAACCCCGAGTTTCTCGCATCTTTCCTCGTTTCTTCTTCGCGCGACATGTAACGAACGTGCTCGAGTTCCAACCAACCGAAACGATCGTTTGTATAGCACGACAATGGCCGGTTACCAACTTTCTCCGTTTTCTTGTAATTCGTATGGTCGACGATATTTGCTCGCGTGTCCACCTTCGTCGTGCATTATTTACGACCGACCACCGTGAATTTTCGTTATTTCATCGGATTATTCGCTTGCGTAGCAGCGGCAGCCTGACGTGCAACGCTCGAGGAAAATGGCAAGGAGATCTACCATTTTGCGGTAAGAATTTCATCCTCGGATACAAAATTTCATTCTCCAAGCGAGAATCTTTCCGTTCGTAACACCGGCACGTTCGATTATCCGTCTCTCCTGACAACGAGATCGTGCAGCTTTCTCTCCACGGTCTCGCTGAGGAACCGACGTGCACTTGGCGATCCAAGAAATTCGACTTTTTCCTTACTTTTAAATGCTGTGCGTAGAAAGCGATTTTTCGTATGCCACGAGGTAGTCGCTTTTTTCATTCGACGCGACGCGACGCGACGTTTCACTTTTACCTGCAAAATCGGTTCGAAACGCCGCGCCGCTCGGAAAGAAAGTCCGCGGCGGATGGTAAAACACGTATCGGCGAAACGTTGCGCAACTAGAGATTTATTCGGTGACAGTCGCCTCCAACTGCTCTTACACCGCCGTGCCGGTGAGAATGCGGAAAAAGTGATAAAGCCGGAAGATTCTGAAACGCTAGACATAATCGTTTCTCTTTTATTACTAAACGCATCCTGTTTATAACGAACGTTTTGTTACTCTCGGTCCTTTACTTCTATCGTTGTATCACCGTGTTTCGTTAACGCGAACAGGTACGAACGTCGCTTTCCGGAAACCGACCAATCAATCGACGACAGTTCGCGGGGGAGACGCGAGCCACGGAAACGACGGTGATTCCAGCACCGAACACGACGGGAAGAGATGCACGGAGACGCAAAGCGAGCCTAGCCCATGGTGGAAGGTCGATCTTCTCAAGTCGTATTCGGTAAAAGTGGTCAGAGTAACGACCAGAGGTTGCTGCGGTAAATTTTTCATCTTATTTCGAAGGCTTTTTACCTTCTTCTCGTAAAAATCCGTTCTTCGAATCGAGATTGGTGGTAACGTTCTCTCGTTCTCGACAGGTCATCAACCCCTTCAGGACATCGAGATACGCGTCGGCAATAGCAGCGTGGAACTTCAAAGGAACCCTTTGTGCGCCTGGTTTCCCGGCACGATTGGTAAGCGAGTAGGGAGGAGAGCTTGTTAAATTGTACGATCGTGTAATTCTATTCCCTGGTCGATCGATCCGTTCTTACAGAAGAGGGTATCACGAAGACTTTGGTGTGCGCCAGAGCTCTGATCGGTCAGTATGTGTTCTTACAGCTGGTCGGGGTCGAGGGAAGCTTGAGCCTGTGCGAGGTGGAGGTGTTCGCTGTGGACGGTAAGTTCGAGGTTGAAAAGTCTCGGTTACACAGCCCCAGGCCTGTCGAATAAAATTCCTGTAGAAAAGTTCTACCTGGTTTCTCGTAGAGTTCTCGACGGACAGGTGCGCGTACAGCGGAACGCCGGCTGACGCCGACTTGGCCGCGTTCAATTCCACCTGTTACGAGTTCGTGGTGAAGAAGGGTGGCTCGTTTCAAGAGGCCAGGAATTACTGTCGAACCAGAGGCGGTGATCTAGTGCACGGTTTCAAGGTCTTTGTAGAAAACAACCTTCCGTCGGTTTTTTGAACCCGTTCCAACGATTTATCTTCTTAATACACAGGGTGCAGCCTCGGTGTACATATTGAACAATCTCGAGAGGCGAAAGGAGAAACTGAAGACGCAGCTGGTTTGGATTGGTGCTCAGAAGGAGCCATTGATAACGGTTCGAACTTGGCGATGGGTCGACGGTGAGTATTTCGCTTCTCGTTCATCTGTTGCTCCTCTTTTTTTCACTCCTTCTCGTTTCCCCTCTCACGATTTATCGGCGAACGTTGATGGGAAGCAGGTCGGAGGTTGGGCAACGCCGATTCAGATTCCTCGACCGGGGTCGATCAATTTTCCTGGTAATTACGCGGTAATTATAGTTCCGTCTGCCGTTTGAATTGGTTAGCCCGGCGTGGGATTTGGAAATTCGTCCCCGAAGATCTGGCACCGACACGGGCCGACTGTCGGCGCAATCGCACGCGCTAATAAATAGAACGTGAAAGTTACGACTGTGAGGAAATCAACGGGAAGTTACACCCGCGAGCGGCTCTGTTCGAACGTGTAATCTCTGTTAATTGTTTGTTGCGTCTGGGGATCGGCCAGACGAAAAGATTACCTCGGACTCCTACGAACGGGTTGACGACCTTTAACGATCCGATTTTCCAACAGGCGAGATTGTGCAAAAGCCGTCCTGGGGAAAGGATCAACCGAATAATTATAACGGCGAGCAAAATTGCGTAGTGCTGGACGGTGGTCGTAGCTGGCTCTGGAATGACGTCGGCTGCAACCTTGACTACTTGCATTGGATATGTCAAAGCAGTGAGTGTCAATCGATACGCTACTGCGGAAATATCGGGAACTGTAGGATAAATTCCTTCGCGCGTTATAAACGAAGGGGAAGTTGAGAAAAAATTTAAACACGAATTTCTATCCCTACCTCTTCAGGACCACCTACCTGTGGTAGCCCAGAAAAGTCGGAGAACACAACGGTAGCAGGTGCGAAAAGGACCATAGGCTCCACTGTAGACTACGTTTGCCCGGATGGATACATGCTGATCGGTTCGAAAAGCAGAATGTGCGAGCCAAGCGGATTTTGGAGTGGCATGGCGCCCACGTGCAAATGTAAGTTTAATAGCACGCGCTTCGCTACGCAAGCTGCATAATCGCCAGCCTAACGACGACGCAGCTGCTAATTAGCGTACCGTCACGTTTTAAATCACTCGCAGTCGTCGATTGCGGTCCTCTACCCGAGCTGGAGAACGGCGCTATCACGCTAGTCGATAAAAGAACGACTCACGGAGCGCTCGCTGATTACGCTTGCAAAGAAAACTACACGCTACTCGGTGACGCTAGAAGAAGATGCGGGGACGGTGGTATCTGGAGTGGACATCAGCCTCAATGTTTATGTACGAAATCAGTTTCGCCGAGAAATTCTCGTAAATGACAGAGCTGTTGCAATTTCGAGTACTCTTTGTTGCTTTCCAGTCGACTGGTGTCCCGAACCACCGCAAATTAACGGCGGCGTGGTGACAACCACCGGGAGAAGAGCAGGCTCGACCGCTACCTATTCCTGTCAGAACGGCTTTATTTTATTCGGGGATAATGTAAGCAATTTCGAAAGTAAATTTAGTTTCTCGTTTTCCATCGTAATTTATCCGGCGGCTGGCCTTTTCTCTCATTTGTTATGCTCGAGGCGCAAGTCCGTTTCGAGATTAACACGTTTCATTAACAACGTTTCCCGTTAACACGGGACAATCAATTTCGAAAGGTTCTTACGTGCGACGTCGGCGGGGAATGGTCCGGCAAAGCGCCCCAATGTCGATTCGTCGATTGTGGAGCACCTCCTCAAATTGAATTCGGCTCCGTGACCCTAATTAACGGCACCACCACGGTGAAAAGTTTCACCGTGTACACGTGCTTGGAGGATTACTGGCTGGTCGGTGAGGCGAAACAAGAGTGCACCAAAGAGGGGAAATGGAGTCACGATACTCCGTCGTGCGAGTGTAAGCGATTTCAGCGATTCTATCTGAAATTACGTACGTAGACGTAACGTTGACATCTTCGATACAGTGATCACGTGTGAAGAGCCCGAGGTAACAGCCGGAAGCTACGTCGTCGGATACGATTTGAACGTCCACAGCGTGATTGAGTACCACTGCGAGCCAGGATACCTACTTCAAGGCGAAGCCAGACATACTTGTGGCAGAGACGGCGAATGGTCCGGAGAAGTGCCGACCTGCGAGTGTACGTTCTTCTCTCTGTTCGACTCGTTGAGAATTCTTTTTCGCAGAGATGTACGCGCTAATTTCTCCCGACTAATTGTTCAACGATAATATTCCCCCCGCTTTGCCAATTTTCCAGACGTTGATTGCGGGAAAGTTCTGCCCGTGCTGAACGGAGCCGCGGATTATGTGAATGGAACGACGCATCTCGGAAGTGAAATCACGTACAGCTGCACGAAAAACTACAGGCTGAACGGAGTGTCGAGAAGATACTGCTTAGACAATGGTCAATGGAGCGACGCGACACCAAAGTGCGAAGGTATACACGTGTATACCTACTTGGAATTTCTACATCTTGGTTCGTATTTCAACGACGATACTTTTTTCCCCATAGAAATTCGTTGTCCCGAGCCAGTTTACGCGGAACACGGGATCTTGTCGGTGACTGGGAACGATCGAATGTACGGTAGAACGTTAATTCGTACTGGAACACCGGAGAATTCTAATACCGGCGCGACTTCTTACAAGATCGGCGCTCTTGCGAAATACCGCTGTGAAAGAGGATACAAGGTAGTCGGAGAACCTTTATCCACTTGCGAGGACAATGGAAAATGGAGCGGCGAGGTTCCACGATGTGTCTGTAAGACAGTGAAAAAATATTGCGCTATTTAAATAGCCGCCAAGTTCTTCGCCCGTGTAAATATAAACGGATTTTTCAGACGTCGACTGCGGCAAACCGGAACACATTCAGCATGGAAGATACGCGTTAACGTCAAACGCGACTTATTACGGAGCAGCTGCGCTCTACGAGTGCGACGGTAATTTTGAACTGGACGGATTTGCCAGAAGGCTCTGCCTCGAGAACGGCACCTGGAGCAGCGACACTCCAGTTTGCAAGGGTAATTGTCGCGACTAGAATGTAATATCAGTTGGTACATTTATGCCTCGCGAGATTCATTTTTACTTGACAAAATCCTGTACCACTTTGTTGTATTACATTTGCGCTACGTTCACTCATGCCGTTCGTGTATGCAGAGATTAGGTGCAAAGACCCTGAAAAAGAAGGTGTACTATCCACGCAAGTTTCAACTCATAGCGTGGGTGGAGTGGCTCACTATAGTTGTCCACGTGGATTCTATATGGAAGGCAACGAAACTAGAGTGTGCTTGCAGAACGGTTCGTGGAGTGGAAGCACACCTGCCTGTTTCTGTAAGTATACATCACCTTCCCCGAGTGCCTTGAATTTATCAAATTGAAACTCGTGTTCAACAGCGGTCGATTGCAAGCATCCAGGCCCCATAGAGAACGGGAGAGTGATAGTGGTGAACGGGAGCACTACTTACGGCGGAACCGCAGAATATCACTGCTTACCGCAGTACGAGAGAGCGGGGCCGTTTTTGAGAAAATGTTTGGACACCAGCGTATGGAGTGGCGAAGAACCCAAGTGCGAATGTGCGTAAAACGTGATACTACATTGTCTATACATGTTTAAGTGAAAGAAACACTAAGAAACAGTTGTCACTTTTTCTTATACAGTTATGCCGAATGAAGTGCCGGAAGCGCAAGGAGTAGGTACCAGCGTTGGTATTGGAGCGGGAGTTATTATATTTATTCTAATTATTCTTGGACTCGTTTATCTAAGGCTGTACGTAGAATTTACTACGATAGAATTGACAATTGCACTGTAGATAAAAAAAAGTATTCTTTTGAGAATAATGTTTGCTCTTAGGAGGAAAGCTACACCGGTGAAAAATACGGAAAATGTCCAAGCAGCTGAAAGAAAGGAAGATCAAAATGCTGCTGTTATGTCTTACGCCACTCTCAACGATGGCACGCCTAACACTATGTACGAAAACGTTCCAGAGGATGGTCTTTACGATAGTCCTTATAGCCTAAGTGGCAGTACCTACGGGTAAGTGAAAACAAACTCTTTCTTTCGTAGAAACGCCTGAAGAAATAACGAATTGTTTCTCTTGAAATAAAAGGTACGGCACCAACGTGAGAAGACATTACGGTAGGTCGGGACATTACGAGGCGGAGCCGGTTTCAAACAGAAACGGCATTACGATTAACGGAGTGTCTGTGCGATAGTTCGAGATACGTATAAGATTAGCATCGAGCGTGTCTTTTGATATCAGGTATTATTTATGTACAGGTAGGAGGACACAGATACGCGAAACTTTGTTGTCTTTATTTATATTATTATATTCGGCGCATCGCCGATGTATGTAAATAAGTAAAGAGGAGTAACGTGACGATGAAGAAATCGAGGGAAAAAAAAAAGAAAGAATTTGCATCAATGTTTTCCATACCAATGAGACGATAGCGCGTTATATTAACGGACGTTAACTGTATTACTATTACTTCGATTTGTTTGCACACAGAAATTACACGAGATTTCAATCCATGTATTATTATGTATATAGATTGTTTCCCTAATTTAGAGTTATTATTTGTAAATCTCAACCGACGAACTTGTAACATAAATTCGTATGTTCATTGGTTATGCAAATAAAGAAACCAATGCTCTTGTTTTATTTTATATTTTGTTGCATTTTTTTTACAGTACCCGCGAAAAAACCAACCCAATACAGTATATTCTCCGCAAGTGTCGGACCGCAAGGAAACTAAACCTGACACTCGTAGAGTCAGGGACTACGTTTTCGAGCCTCGCGCCCGCATTTGTAGTTTGCCGAACGTAGACAAGGACAGCGTATAAAAGATAAGCATGAAACGTGAGTCGAGGCAAACAAGCGATTTAAATATCAACTTTTTTAATTTTACGTTCTTTTATCCCGAAATTTTTCTTAACATATTGATGAGATTTTTCTGATGAAAATGACATAAAACACGACATAATTTGAACAACATTTACTTATTAACACGTTCACTGTCACGCCAGATTTACAGGTTGCTGTCAGGCGGCCACAAAAAAATACATTTTAAGCATAGGATTATAGTATTATGCTTTATAATTATTTTTTTTCAATTGAAAATAATGTCTAGCTAGCTATGACGTTCAAAATTTTTAGTTGACAACATTTATTTTATTTTAATTATTCTAAACATTTGAGGCACTCCAGTCACTGATGACCACCATGGCCATATCGAGGAAACAATCTAACGTTAAAACTTATTGAGTGATTAATTTAATTTCATAATATATCGCTTTAGCGAGCCACCGTTTGGTTGCCAATTGTTTAGCACATATAGTCGGCCTACCTCCACGTAAAAAAAAAAAAAAATGTAGGGTCGATAGCAGCAGAAAAGCTGCTAAACAATTAGAATTAAATGTAACGATAGAAATTATTGCAATAATCCGTAATGCAATTGAAAAATTGAAAGAATCAAAAGAAAAAACGCGAATTCATATCTTTCTCGATTCTAGAATATAAGAAAATTTGAATAAAATACGCGACGAGAATTGGGGAGAAGCATAAGTTAAACGCGTAAAAATATTCAATAATAAACGAACTAGGGATGAAGCTATTATTTCAATACGCGATGCACTGACTCTAGTATTTACTAAAATTCAAAAATTCTCGTATAAATTCCGAAAATAGATTATTAATTACGGTAAACTACTGAGACGGTTTAATTTAGGGTGGGCATAGTGCACTCGTTCCAAATCATCTCACAATATACAATAATAAATCAACTAACTACTTAACATGCAATTCATGCAAATTCCTTGGATGGTAAATTATTAGTAAACAAAATTCAATATCAGAGAAAATATATGAAAAATTTAAAATTAATTTCAATTGCTGGAAGAAAAGTACATATTGATTGTTATGCTGTAACGAAAAAGCAACCTCTCAAAGTCATTTCAATATCCTATTCGACAAGTCTGAAGAACAACGATGACTAAAATTCAAATGTTTATTTCCCTAAACCTTCAAAATAATTTCGAAATATTTTATTCGAAGCGGAGTATTCCAAGTCAGTATCGATAATTGAAGAAATTATTTGATTGTATTTAAAAGAACCGAAAGGAGAATATTTAAAGTCTGATATTAAATGTCTAGCAAGTACCAGTAATTGGTAAAATGATTTATATTTGTTTTAAAAGGAAAATTTCTAATAGGTATTAGTTAAAATGAATTGTTATTCAGTCTATTGTATTGAAATTCTAATTGATTCTAATGTATACAAGTGTTACAAGAAGGCTGAGTGTGTACAGGGTGGACACTGACTCTAGTATTTACTAAAATTCAAAAATTCTCGTATAAATTCCGAAAATAGATTATTAATTACGGTAAACTACTGAGACGGTTTAATTAAGGGTGGGCATGGTGCTGCTTTAGTTTGAAATGATTTATAAACACATAATTAACAGAGGAAAAACCGTGAAACGGCAAAACGTCTACATTCTAATTGTTATAACATGTAAACAGAACTTTAAATTTAGTGTAAACAGAAAAAATATATAATACAATTTATTTCACGGTATTGCAACAAATAAACGTTGAATCAATATTTAATTCGTATAAAAACAATTATTTAACGTAATAATTTTACCTTCACTATGGCTATTTTAAATTTACGACCAAGGGTCAACCTGATTTCTAATCCTTACGAACTTTAAATTCAGTCTAAACTGAGAAAATATATAATACAATTTATTTCACGGTATTGCAACAAATAAACGTTGAATCAATATTTAATTCGTATAAAAACAATTATTTAACGTAATAATTTTACCTTCACTATGGCTATTTTTAATCTACGACCACAGGTCAACCTGATTTCTAATCCTTACGAACTTTAAATTCAGTCTAAACTGAGAAAATATATAATACAATTTATTTCATGGTATTGCAACAAACAAACGTTGAATAGATTCTTAATTCGTATAGAAACATTTATTTAAAATAATAATTTCACCTTCACTATGGCTATTTTAAATTTACGACCAAGGGTCAACCTGATTTTTAATCCTCCGAACTTGATTTCACAACGAGAAAGTAATAAGATCGTTGAAACGTACTTATTTGTCAAAGAAACTTGCAAAAATGTATAAATAATAATATGTAATGTTTTAACAAATTTTTGGAAGTATAAATTAATAATAAAATTGTGAAAATTAATAAATTATACGTTATTATAACATTAATAGAATTATGACTAAACCGAAGTTCGAAGTCGAGTATTTAAAGTCTGATATTACGTGCCTAGCGAGTGCCGGTAATTGTTAAAATTTGTTTAATAATTAGTAATAGAAATTCTAATTGATTCTAATGTATACAAGTGTTACAAGAAGGCTGAGTATGTACAGGGTAGACATAGGCTAGCTAGTAGCCCCCGACCACTCTATTCACATCTCACAACCTTCAGGTCAAAATACGCCGCGAAGTATCTATGGCCCAGTATAAAGGGTGAATAAGTTGGCGGGACATCGTCAGGTCCTTATATACCTGCGGTACCCTCTCCCCAAAGTCATTAGCAAAATCGTCGGTTAGGTCAGGCGGGAAATTTTCGCGGGAGATTTTCGTTATCGTAACACGGTATAATTTATCAATTTTCGCAATTTCGTTATAAATTTATACTTCCGACAATTTGTTATAACATTGCATATTACAATTTATACGTTTTTACAATATTCTTCAATGGAAACATACGTTTTAGCGTTCTCGTTACTTACTCGTGGTTAAATTAATTTCGTAGGGATTAAAAATCAGGTTGACCTGTGGTCGTAGATTAAAAATAACCATAGTACAGCTAAATTTATCGTGTTAAATAATTCTTTCTACACGAATCAAAAATGTATTCAACGTTTGCTTGTTATAATATCGTGAAATGAATTATTTGTGCAGTTCTAAAATTCCAGATGAAAAAAAGTAAAATTAAAGAAATTATATTTTTCTATTATGATTTGTCGAGCCGTGAAATCTCCGACTGCGAGCGAGATAACATGGGCGCAGCAATGACGCAGACCTAGGCGTAGGACCATCTATACTGTCACTTGTAGAATCCAAACTTACTGACTCTTGTAGAGAATTTACTGTATTTTTTTGTTTCTTAAGATTTCAGCGATGATACACATCTTGGTATAGCTGTACTTGATGAATTTTCAGTAAACCTGATTACGAAACGAACGAAAACTATATCGGGTTCTCTCATTGCCTTATAAGGCAACGATTTCTCTGTCAGCAGCTTGCTCCAACTATGGTACACACAATGACGTATCCTTTCGAGGGTGAACCATCGCATCTTCGTGATGTACTGCAAATCGTGAAATTTTTCCTGCGTCCTATTAATTAGCGCACTGGTTGTTGTAAAATGTTTCATAGAAATATCATAGAATGGACTCCAATAGAATATTAGAGGGATCAAGGTCTCACGTTTTAAAAGGCATTTGCTACACTCGAATTCTGATTTGTACCACGGGACGCGGATTGGAAATATGTATTAGGGCAAAAATCGATCACCATAGAAACTACTTTTTTTCTTGATTGCAACGTGGCCTAATTTTCGGATATGTCTAGAAAAGGCTCGTGCAGTGGATACGCGATCCTTCACCAGATGGCGCTACATACCCGGGTGTGGTGAATAACCATAGAGTGACGCGTAACGTGAGTCACAGTGGTGCACGAGTATCTGTATCGTTCTGTTTCTCGTGATTTTCCTCGTTTAGAAGCCAGTGTAAATCAGGTTAGTAAAAACTTGTTTCCTTTTACGTTTGAATACGAAACCTTTTGGTTATCGATATACGCATATAGGGACGATCTGAAAAATGTGAAATATTTGACAGCAGTCCTTTTACTTATAAGGGCAGCCATTGTTATTGTGCCGTCGCTTCGAATGGTGTGCATAGTGCATACTGCATATTAATGTCGTTAATTTCTTTAATTTAACGAACGTATTTTTGTGTCGTTTGTTATTTAGAAACGACGATATTAGCGATGAAATAATTTTATGCAGGTCTCAACTGTTTAGATTAAATGTTTACGAGAAAGTCAAATATAGCCTGTACGAATATAGCCGGGGCGAAAATTCTGAAACAAAGAGCTGTAAAGTAAAAGTTTACAGCTAAATTTGAGTCAGCGACAGACTTAGAAATACAAAAGTAATAACATTAAAAAAAGAGCGTTACGCACTATTAAAGTAGTATTATTCACGTGTACGACAGATATTAATGTTCTATCAATTTTTGTATTAATATTTTGCTGTGCAATTCAAGTTCAATTTTATGCTCGTACGAACAAGTATTTTTACGTAGATATCTATAGACGTAAAGTGTAATGTCCTCTTTATTGAACCGTCGTGCAGACGATCTTATTTTTATCCTGATTTTCCCTGCGTTCAGATTTCTTATATTAACTGTTCAAAAATAAATAATAACTCGATAATAATGATCTTAGTAAGTAGATGCGTTTAGTGTTTACCTTTACTAAATGCTATTCTTTACTAATAATCGAATCTACATAACCTCTGCATCATCTGTAACGTTATTTATGATAACAATTGTAAATCAACAAGTGTGGAAAAAGTATAAAAAAATAATAAGTAAGTTAGTTAAAAAATCATCAAGTTCTTTGTTGCTTGCAATTCTAGAGAATATTAAAGATGTCTTCGCGCAAAACGGCCGGACGTCGTGCAACGACCAAAAAGCGGGCACAGCGTGCAACATCGAATGTCTTCGCGATGTTCGATCAAGCCCAAATTGCAGAATTTAAGGAAGCTTTCAACATGATCGACCAGAATCACGACGGTTTCATCGATAAAGAAGATCTTCACGACATGCTCGCTTCGCTAGGTAAACGATTACTTACCATACATAAGTAAAAATGAAAATAACATTCTTATACTTTTCAGGCAAAAATCCTACCGACGACTACTTGGAAGGAATGATGAACGAGGCACCGGGACCAATTAATTTTACAATGTTTTTAACTTTATTTGGCGAAAGACTTCAAGGTACAGATCCGGAGGATGTGATTAAAAACGCATTCGGTTGCTTCGACGAAGAAAACACGGGACACATAAACGAAGAACGCCTTCGGGAATTGCTTACGACAATGGGAGACAGGTAATTTTTATATCCGGTGCAACATTCCTTGCTCTTCGATCGAAGCAAGCAAGAGATTGATCTTTGCCTTCTTTCTGCAAAAGGTTTACGGATGACGACGTTGACGAAATGTATCGCGAGGCACCAATCAAGGGATCGATGTTCGATTACATAGAATTTACAAGAATTTTAAAGCACGGAGCTAAAGACAAGGATGAACAGTGAAAAACCTCTAATCATTTGTTTTCTGTATTTGTGTGATTGAGCGTGAAAAACGCTTTTATATGGTTGCAATTGTAAAGTTTGAAATATTACTTGTATTTTGTACATCCTCTATTAATGAGTATAACTGAAAATCTAGGATTTACATTATTTTTTGAGAAACTGCCTTATCTCTAAGTCCTAAATATGTAAGCCCGGAAACCTTACAAGCATTTGCCGTATTTATTTGCAAGTACATATAATTGTTCGTACAGCAAGCCACACGAAAGAAAACGAAGAGAAAAGAAAGTTGATTCATATATCTCGATACAAGTTACAATCACTGTAAAATCGATTAAAACTAAATATGTAATATATATATATTATATACTACATTAACATGTAGTTGTTAAAGAGTTGGCATTTATATTTTAATATAATAATGTATTATATATATATATATATCAAAAACATGCAGTCTATCTTTACATCCACTCTGTTCAACTTTCACATCCAACAAAAATAAAAATGTATTTTTCATATTTGAAGTACTATAACCTAGCACAACATGGTACAATACGAACGAGTTACTACTTGGTTTAAATAAGACAACGTTAAAAATAGTAAACTCGAAGAACAAAGCATTTCACCGATACGTTATTACCTACTGTCACTAAACGAAATAAGAAAAGAGAAGATTAACAAAGTTCGTAGAATTCGTTGAATTAAAGGAAAGTTGCAGAAAAAAATTTTTAGATTCGGCACGTGTAGACGACGAGTGAGTAACGAAAATATTTACCTAGCTGCCTGAAAAAGAGCGCGAGAAATGGGAGAAAGCTGAATCGATATATTTTGAAAGATTTCGAAAGAGAAAGAAACATCCTCTGTAGTAAAATTGAAGGAAGAGATTTCGATAGCTTGCAGTCACGATCATTCCGCGTCTGCGCGTTGGCGTTTATGTACAGTATATACGGAATAAAGTCTCACGAAGCCGCAGTATCATTTGCACTGGTGCGAGTGTGGGGTTCGCTTCGTCTCTTCGCATCGTTACTGTTGCCGCTCGTGGTGGCCTCTCCTGTCGCGTCCCTTTTGCTCAGTGGTTGTTCCATCCAAGTAAATAGCGAGAAAGAAAAAGCAGCTGAATACGCGTGGTCGAGAGTGTGCTCGGGGGTATCGGCTGAACGCCGATCTCCTCTCGAAACGAACCGAATTATCGGTAACGTCGTTCTACGATCCACCGACTGGTCGATGCGGTGTGTTTACTATTTGGTGAATGTTAAGAGTGAGCCGCGGTGTCTCGTGCAATCTTGTTCATCCCTGTGAGTGAAACTTGTCGAAAAATTCAAAGAACGGGGGAAGAGAGATGAGACGAGAGACAGAGGCAGAAGCTGCCAGCCGCGAATTGGGTTACGTCCCGTTCGCCTGGCAACGATATATGACGCAACGGCCACCCTTCGTTCGTACCAACGATCCTCGTGATCTTTCCGTGCCGCTATAATTCTGCAACACAGGACTTTTGAGCCTCGGTGTCGATACACACGCGAAAAGGGAACGCGTGTTTCATGCGAACAGCTATCATCCCCGCCCCGTCAACTCGATTGCGCAGCTAGTTTTGGAGGTTAGCCGATCACGATTAAGAAACTTCAACGAAAGCGACACCCACAGAGCCAGCCGGATCAGCTGTTTCCCCAGGACGACCTTTCGACTACCCTTGGTGAGTGTGCTCTCTTCTCGAATCTTCCTCGTGCCTCGGTCCAACGCATTTGTTTCGATTCTTCGCAACACCTGCATTAAACCGACCGTCTAATCGCTCCGATAATATCCACCGACGACGGTGTACATTTTTCCGTATCGTTTTTTCTCGTCGACCAATTTACGCGTTAAGTTTTTCACGCGCGTACATCGAAACTAGAATATAATGGCGGAAATTGAACGTTATTAAATACGACTACAGGCTCTCTCGGTGCTGTTATTTTAATATCGTGTAAAATGGAAAGAATAAATAACGGTGCGGCGAGAAACATATACAGCACGTGACTATAGACGAGATCGCTGTCAAAAGGAGTAACACGCTGCGTCGTCGCCATAGAAAGACTCCTTTATTTCTAGACGGTAATTACTAAAGGACGACACTCAATGGTACTCGCTCACGTCTCGAAGCGTCTGCAAAGAGAATTTTTTGTCACGTTAAAATACTGCTGCCAGGGGACGGTGCGATGAGTTTTATTGAATCACGTATAAAAAGATAACCGTGCATGTTGCATATACTCAGTGTAATACGATCCAACGCTCGAACTGATCGTAGCACTTTGATATTGCATAACGTGCTCATACACAAGTGCATAAGAACATTAATACAAAAGCGTAACGAGTCTTGAAACTGGGCGAATTTCATTCGCGTCGTTCGTCGACCAACTTTCACGAGCTTACTCTACTCTGTTTACTTATCGTAATAAGGAAGTCGAAACTTTTTACGTCGCGAATTCTAACTTCACTCGGAAAAAATTCCAACAATCTCGCATTTTCTCCAGAAAAATAAAAAATACACGCAAGTTCGATCGGAAAATCATTTTTGCTGGGATTATAGAGAAACCAGGTTTCAGCTAAAATGCACAGAGATGGAAGCAGTATTATCAAGCTAATTACATCCGAGTCAGGGACGTCTCTAATACGCAGCCATGTTTTCAAACAGGTTGTTCCAGATACTAGTAGGTAATACGTTAAATCTGTTACGTGATTTCGCGTTCTGTGTCGCGAATCCCTGTTTCTTTTCGTGTCACGTTGCTTGCTCTCGTCGCGGACACTTAAAACGCGGACATCTGTTCGACACGGCTAATGGATTTATAAAATTGATCACCTTGTTGCGTAATATTGTCTAACATCTCGGTCGGCGTAAAGGTAACTCGCGCGTCGCTCGATACGAGTAGGATGGAAAAGAAATTTCGCGTGTCGGTAATTGTATTTAGGATTTTAATCGGTACTTTACAAGGGAGAAACGCGGAGAGAAATATGCAGGCACACGCAGTGCAGTCAGCAACACGAGATACATAGTAGCGAAAGTGGAAATCCTTTTAAAATCCTCTTTTAAATGTTCGCCAGATTATTCTGAGAAACCTTACGCGACGCAACGTCACGTTTTCAACGATATCAGCGTAATCCTGACTCGAGGCAGATAATTAATATAAAATTACGTTACGTCTGCAAAGTTTCTCTCTCGAGAAGAAGAATATGCAATAATCGCGCGTTGATCGTAGGAATAGGAGTTAGGGGTCTGTGACAACTGTGCCAGATTACACGTGAACAAAAGCCACTCGTCGAAGATGCTCTCTATTGGATCGAAGCCGGTCCAACGTGCTCGAAGAGGAGCGGTAAATAAGCGTTCTCGATGGCCGATGTTATCCGGTATCCTGGTATCAAAGGCGTCAATCGGTGGAACCGCGACGTATTATTTACGTTATCTGTTTCGTCCGGCGCGGACGCTTAATAATCGTTGACCGTGTTTAGGTCACCTCGTTTGCTCGTCTAGAGCACCTCTCTTAGTTACAATTTAAGCCACGCCACTTTGAGACCGTTGTTCGAACGAAACTGTGCTCCTCGAGCGAACGCCACTTTCTCCACGCCTCGCGATAACACCTGCGAACGCGAATTGACATTTGTTGGGGAAATTGGTGTCTCTAGATCGACGTGAAAATTTGCTCGCGAGATACGTAAGTCTGGCACGAGCTAATTTAGTCCGGGTGTAGAGGAGCGTGGACGTACCAGAAGCATGTTCTCCAAAACGCGTTGGACGGATGTCTAGCGGTGATTGAATCTCGAGCCAAAATATCCGGGTCAGCCGTTCTAAAGTGCGAGTAGGTTAAAGTTTGGTGTGTCACGAGGCCGTCTAGACGACGTTGGGCAAACGCGAATGATTCCAAGATATCTCGTGCTGCTGACGAAACGGATGGCAATAAAATGTGTGGCGAGTTACCGGCGACGGGGGTGCTTTCCGTTTCGATAACGAAAGCGGTCGGAGGCATAAAGGGAGGATGGGAGAAGCCTAGCCTCGAGTAGGATGAACGACGCCGATTCTAGCGCGGGGTTACGTTTCCCCGCGCGCAGGCGTCGTATCGATTTCTTCCATTGCCTTTGCCTTTGCTTTACCGTTGCCGTTCCCGTGCGTGCGGTATATACTACAGGCGGCCTCTTCCGTCTAAGCTAAGGACGGTCACTATTGCGAGGGATGCACCCGGTAGCCTTGGCGAGACGACGCGCGATTTCTCATTCGTCATATCTCGCTTCAATCCCCCTTGCGTTTCTCCGTTGCAAAGTTGAGTCGGCGTGGAAGAGATACCGGTAGGGAACAGTTGGGCCAGATGAATCTGGTGCAACTGTTTCTATTTAGAATCCCTGTCTGGTGGACCATATGGTGGAAGATAGGTATACGCGATGTTAAATCTGTGCAAAGGTATTGAGCCGCAAATCGTGCCGCACCTGTCCGCGGCCGGATCGAACGGCAGTTTTCGAGGGTGCAGTGACAATGAAATTCGATAGTCTCGGATGACGTATAGGTTGGATCGGTTGTGTTGCACGGGTCAGCGACGTTGCGACAATGGCCAGAACAGCCGGACTATCCCATAGTCTAGGAGGAGTAGAGTGTGCACGTATAACAGGGAAGTGGTAGGGAAAAGTGTGCCGATCTTTGTGTTAAGTGCTTGAAATTCGATGCATCCTGTGCCCATCCCTCTCGTCTCGTAGACGTGCACCGTGTCGTTGCCCCTGTTGCCTCTGTACTACTCGTCGTTTACTTTCATTAACTGCTAATCCTCGCTTCGATACGGAACCATCGGCTATTTCGAGCGGCGCGCAGCTTTTTTCGCTCCACGGCGCGAGACCTTTCAAGTTTGCCGATAAAACTTCACTTCCTCCTTTCGATCGCGTACCTTACAGCCGTTGGAACGCGTATTCCACTGACCTTCCGCATATTACTCTTCGTTAATGCAGAGAGATGAATCACGCGTAATGCTGCGTATCGATAGCTATAGAGAGCGACCTTGCTCCGGAAGAGATACGGGAGATTATCGTTGATTAACGGAAAGACGAACGTGACTGGCCGCAATTGCGGCATGCAATAAGCCCGTGGAATTAGCGGAGAACGTAGGCCGCGGTCAAAATTAGACGGAAAAGCGAGTAAAGCGACGTGCACGCGGATGACGCGCGTTACATAAGCCGCCGCGTAGACGGAAGCGAGCGACGCAGAGGAGTAATCGTACGAAACGATTTCGATGGCTCGATAATGAAAGAGAACAAAGGAACGAGGGGGGAAGGCACTTGAGGCGCACGGTAGTCGGCCGGTGCTGGAAGGTATCTCGTTGATAACTCGGGAGGAAAGAAGCGAGAGAGGGTTGAAAGCGAAAGAAAATAAGAGCGCGTTCGAGCAATGCCGTACACATGCATACGTCGAATTTGAAACGCGGACGTCCATCATTCGCCGGTACGTTCTAATTCTGGCGAATGACTTAACTCCACGGCGATGTATGTATGTTACCATTCGTGTACCTACGTGGGTGCACGTTGTGTACTCATTTTGCGTCGTAGCTCGCCGTTTTCCTTCTGCCGCGTCTGTATCGATCAAAATGTTCGCCCTTGACGAGAAAGATCCGCAACACGTTAGATCTCGGCTCCGTTGTCCACCGCTTCCCGGTCGACGCCGAACGACGACGCTCATCGCCATGCCAAACTTTCCCCCCACCCTCTCCCGAGATCCTTTCGTCACCTATGTTTACCTATGTGTATATTTTCGAATGTATTTGCGGATTAGGAATTGGAATGGGAAGAAGGTGGGATTTCGCGGCCCTTTTCCCGCAACGGCGCTGCATCCAGAGTGGTGTATAGATAGAACCGTAGCTATGGGAAGCACGCGGTGCCCGTACGCTTCCGCAACCGTAAATTAGGCGTCGCGAGAAGTGAATTAAATCGTTGGACTAACCACGGCAAGTACACTCTCGCGGTAATTCGATACACCGATAACGTCCCGGTGACACGAGTAATTGCGCGGCGGAAATGTCCAACAGAGAAGAAAAAGAAACGCGTAGAATGTCGACGGGGGACGAGATGGATTTCTTTTCTTTCTTTTTATGTAAGCGCGCCAAGTGAAGCGAAGGATCGCGTCGCTGCGTCGTCGATCTTTCCCCCTTTCTTTTTCTCAAGGCGAAAGAAACGCAACGACGGAATTCCCAGTTTTTTCCGCTCGTGTGTTTGTCGCGCGCAACATTTTTTTTTTCCTACTCGAAGACCTTGCGATCTAGATAAGACGTCGCCGGCCTTGAATAAACTCCATTTTTCCTCGTTACCAACCGAAACACACGCGCTATCGAAGGAGCCTCGAGAGCGATAAAGACGTGGTTAAAGCGAGCGCGCTTTAACAAGGATAGTACGTAGGACGGTTGAGGAAATTGTCTCGGTGCGCTGACCCACGTTCGCCGCTCGATCGAAATAACTTTGCCCCGCGCAGCTTCCTGGAATCATCGAAACTCGCCTCCGCGCTATCGCCGCCTCTCCGCGACATTTTCTCAACCCTTTGCCTTCTAACGTCCAGCCAGGGCTAGGTGATCGAGATTACGCGAGCCAAACTATCCAACTCCTCGAGATTTTCATCTTTTAAAACCCGAATTGTACTCTAATTGGAATCAGACTTGCAAATGGAAATTACCGCGACATTTTTAACGAATTAAT